ATTATCATTATCATTAATATTTTATTATTTTTATTACTATTATCATAATTATCATCATTATTGTTGTTGTGTTTGTTATTATCGTTATTATTACTATTACTATCATAATCATTATCATTATTACTAATATTACTGTCATAATCATCATCATCATCATTGCTACCATATTTATCATTATTATCACTTTCATTACCATCATCATTATCAATATCATCTTTATGAATACTATTGTTTTAACTTCTGCTGCTACTATCATCATTATCATCATAGTATTATCATTATCATATTCATTACTATTCATTACCTTTATTTCATTATTTTTACTACCTTTATCATCATTATCATCATCACATAATCATACAATCATTATCACATTGATCATCATCATCATCACATTATCATCATCATCAACATTATCATTATCATCCTCATTACCACTATTGTATCATTACAATATCATTACCGCCGTTATCATTTCCATCAATAGAATTTTCGTTGCCTTCCTCATTGTGACGATAATATAAAAAAAAATAATAATAATAATAAATAATAATAATAAAAAAAAAAAAAAAAATAATATATATATATATATATATATATATATATATATATATATATTTACATACAAATATGCTACGTCTACGAACATTGATTATGAATATTATAACAATATCTACAAAACATCAAAAACAACAAAAAATTAATTAAAAATGATAACAATGATGATAAAGATGAAATATTATTGTCATCATCATCATCATCATTATCATCTTCATAAATAATAACATTATTATTATTATTATTATTATTATTATTAATTACAATGATAACTAGAATAATGACGATAATAATATAATAATAATATATGATAATAACAATAGTAGTAGTAGTAGTAATAATCATATCAATAACAATTACTACTATTATTATTCTTTAATCATCATTATCACTCCTAACATATCTGATTATGATGATAATATTGTTATAATAACACTAATAGCAATAATAATGATTATAATAATAATAACAATGATAATAATAATGAAATATATGAGAGCTAATCATATTGACGAATATAAATCTAAGGATGATGCCGATGGTATCATAAAAAATATAACAATTTCAATGTATGAGCGTATGTGTGTTTGTGTGTTTGTATGCACTATTTACACACACACATACACACACACACACACACACACAAATACACACACACACACATATGCACACACCACACACGGCGCGCGCGCACACACACACACACACACACACACACACACACACACACACACACACACACACACACACACACACACACACACACACACACACACACTAGCACGCAGCATGCTTACATATAAACAAACATGGGAGTATCCCATGAAATAAATACTATAGTTACCCCTTGTTTTCTAAAACGTTTTCTTCGAAGCTTTCTCTCGCAGAAAAACGATATATCAGGGTAGACTATGATTTATAATGTTTCTACGTTTTCCGTAACTACACGTTTATAGCTGTAACTTGTATCGGAGAAGAGGAATCGTTTAAATTTTTAGTCACAAATTCATACCATTAATTAATAATGTAGATGTAGATCTGCCTGATGTGATCTATAACTATATGAATTTAAATAATTTAAAGCAATAATCCACACCGTAATATTACCGTAATATTCCCTATGTTACTCTCCTGCTATAGGTTTTCTGTTTCTCAGTTTCTAAAATATATTTTCCCTCCAATCTAATATAGATAGATAGATAGATAGATATTCCCTGTAATGAAAAAAAAAAAGTTTTCCTCTAATTGGTGTTCTGTCACATTCCTCCCTCTGTAGTAAGAAGGTGTCACCAATACTGCTTAATATTTATCAATTATCTTTGTTATATTATTATTCACAGTACATAATAAAATAATAATAATAATAAAGTAATCATAGGAGCGTCTCATATGTATTATTTGGTTCCTCACATCTCCAAAATGTACCTCTTTCCTCCCTTTCAGAGAAAAATAGTTACTTGAACAGAGTATTCAGTGCATTGTCTGTATCTTAACAACAGTTGCGGAAAAGACAATGCGACTGTTCTGTGGTATCACTATGTGTTGATCTGTCGCAAGAGGTTAAATAAACATGTCAACTCCTTGATATGGAGAGATTACCGTTCTTATATCACAGAAATAACTGATTTCTTATTGTGGAATTACTATTAACGGAACTCTTTCACAGTAATCTTTGTTTAACACCAGGAAAAGGTTCGCATCTGCTTTACAATATTTAGTGAATAATGCCTCACATGACAAAATAAAAGTATATCAATAGGTTGTCGATACGCAAATTTTGTGTTCATCAATATCTATACTTTATAATTACTTTGGGATTTATAGTATGAAGTGAAAACTACTGTAAACTGAGTAAGAGAGGTGTTTAGATTTCGCTAGCGAAGGAAAGGGTATTGTTCATCTTGATTCCAAATCTTCAATAACTTTTTTATGCTTTTTGCAGTCTTTATTGAACCTGTTGATAAGTATTCACGATTCCCCATATCAGATCCTTCCATGTTACTTTTTGATGTGAATAATATACATGGTTTGGTTATCTTTTTTTCGGAAAGTTATCAGGCTATAACTGTAATGGAAATCCATCTATTCGCCCATCCATCTATCTTTCCTTCCCTCCTTCAATCCTTCCATCATTTCTATCAATCTATCCTGCCATACACTCATCCACTCTTTCTACCATACATCCAACCTTCATTCTTTCCATCTTTCTTACCTTCTTTCTATCCATCCTTATATCTATCTATCCATCCTTCCTTCCCTATACCAACCCATCCATCCATTCATCCATCCATCCATCCATCCTTCTCTCCATACCTCCTTTCATCTATTCAAAATCCATCTATCCATTCTTCTATCTATCCTTCCTCACCACCCATCTATCCTTCCTTCCATCCGTCCATCCCTCTTATCATCCTTCAATCTATTTGAAATCCATCCATCCAACCTCCCTGCCTTTCATCCTTCTTTCCCTTCATCTATCCATCTATCCAGCCATCCATTCATCTATCCTTCCTTCCCTCCCTGCCTCCCTCCCTTCTTTCCTTTCTTCTTTCGTTCCATCCATCCTTCCTTCCCTCCCTTCCTTTTCCTTCCTTTTATCTATTCATCCATTCATCCTTCCTTCCTTCCCTCTCTCCTTCCTTACTGCCTTCTATCCATCCATCCATCCATCTTTCTTTCCCTTCTTCCTTTCTCCCTGCCTTCCCTCATTCCCTTATTCCTTCGTTCCTTCCTTTCTTCCATCCATCCATCCATCCAAACACCCACCCATCCATCTATCCACCTAATCATTTGTCTATCCATCTATCCGACCATGCAAGTATATACGTAACCTTTTTCAGTCTTCTTTAATTCATCTTTATCCTTTCCCTTTCCTTTTTCCTATTTTCCCCCCATTCTCCTCCCTTTTTCCTCTATTGTTTATCTTTCCTTCTCGTCTTTCGTTTTCCAGTATTTCGCCTCTTTCATTTCTCGTCTCTCATATTTCCCTTTTTCTTTCCTCCCTTCTCCCTTTCCTGTGTCCCATTCTCGTCTCTCTTCGTCTCTTCTTCTCTCATTCCTTCCCTCTCGCTCTCTGCACTTTCTTCTCTCTCCCTTCCTTGCTCTCTGCGTCATCCTTATCATTCATCTATCCCCCTTCCCTTACCTCATCCTTCTCTTCTCTTCCCTTTTTCTTCTCCACCTTCTCCTCTTCCTCCCGCAATACCCTCCGCCCCTTTCGTGTAATTTCCTCTCCATCTTCCTTTTATCCCCCCGCTTCTTCCTTCTCTCGTCTCCTACCTTCCTCCCCGTTCTTTCGCTCCTTTGCCTTATCTCCCTCTCTCTTCTCTTCCCTTCCATCTTTAGTCTTCCCTTATTTCCGTTACCTTCTTTTCCACTCATTCTTCCTTTCCCTTCCCTTCCCCTCCTCGCTCTTTCATTCTAATGCTCATCAATTTCCTTTCATTAAACTTCCCTTCCCTTCTCTCTCTCCTTTCTATATCTCCCTTCATCCCTTTTCTTCATTTCTCTTCTCCTCTTCTTCTCTTCTGTGTCGCAGCCATCCTTCTTCTCTTCACTTTCCTTTCGTTCTCTCTTCTCTCTCCCTCCCTCTTCATTCCCTCATCTTTTCTAATCCCACCTCTTCTTCCCTTCCCCTTCTCTTACCCATCCTTATCCTTTCCCTCCCTTCCCCTTCCTTGCCTCCCTCATCCCTGCTCCTTTTCCCTTCCTCTTCTCTTCCCTTCGTATTTCCTCCCTCTACTCCTATCCCTTTCTTCCCCCGTCCCTTCTCTTTCTCTTCCCCTTCCTTCCACTTCCTGTCCTTTACCTCTCTTTTCCCTTTTCCACCCCCATCCCTTCTCTTTCTCTTCGTCTCCTTTTTCCTTTCCCTTTCTCCCCCGTCCCTCCCCCCTTCCTTTCTCTTCCTTCCCTCTTCCCCTTTCCTCCCCCTTCCCTTCCCTCCCTCTTCCCCTTCTTTTTCCTTACCTCCCCCTTCCCTCCTTCTTCCCTTTCCTTCCTTCCCTCTTTCTTCCCTCTCCTTCTCTCCCTCTTCCCCTTTCCTCCCAGTCTCCCCTTTTTCCTTCCCTCCCTCTTCCCTTTTCTTCCTTCTTACCTTCCTTCCTTCTCCTTCTTTTCTCTTACCCCTTCCTTCCCTTCCTTTTCCTCCCCCTTCTCCTCCCTCCCTTCCATTCCCTTTTCCTCCCCCCCCCCCCTTCTCCCTCCCTTCCTATCCTTCCACTCCCCCTTCCCTTGCTCCCCCTCTTCCTATCCCCTCCCTTCTCTCCCTCCAGTTCCCTTTCCCTTTCCTTCCTACTCCTTCCCCCCTTCTCCTCCCTTCCCTTCCTATCCCTTCCCTTCCCTTCCCTCTCCCCGCGCTCCAAAAAGCCTTTCCCTCCGAAAAGGGCGTGACAGGTCGGTCTGACTTTATGATCCCGCAGCGCCTTTGTCTCTGGTTCTCTGGCTTTTCAAACTTTGTCTGGTGGAAACTTTTTCGAGCTGGCGGCCACAATGCGTGCGTCCATTACAAGCGTTTCGATCTTTTGTCGCAAGTTCGAGACGCGAGTCCTGAAAAGCGGATGGGGGGTGGGGTGGGGATGGGGGTGGGGGGGATATTCGGGGTGGGGTGGGGTGGGGGGAGAGGAGGGAAGAGGGAGATTGAGGTGGAGGGGGGGGGGGGATGGAGAAGGGAAGAGGGAGATGAGGTGGGGGAGAGGGAGATGGAGATTGGGGTTGGGGGGAAAGATGGATAGAAAGATGAGGGTGGGGGTGGGGGGAGAGAAGGGAAAAGGGAGATGGGGGGTGGGGGAGAGAGAGAAGGGAAGAGGGAGATTGGGGTTGGGGGGGTGAGATGATAAGGAGATGGGGGTGGGAGCAAAGAAGGGAAGTAGGAGATTGGGGGTTGGAGAAGGGAAGAGGAAGATGGGGGTGAGGATGGAGGAGATTGGGGGGGGGGGGAGAAGGGAAGAGGGAAATGGGGGTAGAGGGGGAGGAGAAGGGACGGGGGGGGATTGAGGTGGAGGGGGAGAGAGAGAAGGGAAGAGGGAGATGGGGGGGGAAGAGGGAGAGAGTAGGGTTGGGGGGGGATAGGATAAGAAAAGGGAAGGATGAGGACATTGAGGGGAAGGGGAGAAAGGAATGGGAGAGGTGAAGGGAGATGGTGATGGAGGAGAGAGAGGGGGGTGATCTTGGTGGTGGATGAAGGAATGAAGAGAGGGAGGAGGAAGGGGGAGGGATAAGAAGAGAAAGAAGGTGTTTGATTTCTTCTCGTCTTTTATGTTGTTTTTTTCTTTTCTTCTTTTTTTATACTTTTTCGGTATTTTTGTATTCGTGTGTGTGTTGTGTGTGTGTGTTATAGGGGCGTGTGGGTGTAGTGCGATGCGTGTGTGGTGTGACGGGGGGGTGGGCGTATGTGTTGTGTGCGTGTGTTGTGCGTACCGGCGTGTGTGTGGTTGTGTGTGGTCGTGCGTGCGTGTGTTGTGTGTGTGTGGTGTGTGTGTGTGTTGTTGTGTGTGTGTGGTGTGTGTGTTGTGTGTTGTGTGTGTGTGTGTGTGTGTGGTGTGTGTTGTGTTTCCTTCTTCTTTATTATATACAGTCAATTAACTTCTTTGTAGTTCTGTCTCATATTAGTTTAACGTATCTGTTAATTATCTTTTCTCTCAAACCTGTTATTTTCACCTCGATATTTTTCTTTTTCCTTTTACTCTCTTTTTTTGTTTTTTTCCTTTCTCTCCCTTTCACACGCGTTTTCATCTATCTCAATTTACTTTCTATTATTTTCTTCCTATCCTCATTTTCTGTCTCTTGTTTTCTTTAGTTCTTCCTCTTTCTTACTTCCTTTCTTTTCAAATGTTTTCTTCTCTTCTCTCCTTTTTTCATTTTTCATCCTTCTTTCGTTCTCTTCCTTTTCCTCCCTGCTCATTTTCTGCTTTTCACTCTTCCTTCCATTGTATTTGTTTTTTCTTCCACTCTCCTCAATATTTTCTTTCTCTCCTCGCATCTTTCTTCTCCCTCTCTCCCCTCCTCCACTTCATCCCGCCTCCCCTCAATAACTTCCTCTCTATCTTCTCCTCCACACCTTTCTTCTTCTCTCTTCCTCCTCACCTTCTTCCCGTTCTCCTCACTATCTCTCTTACCCCCTAGTCTTTTCTTCCTCTTTTCCCTTCTCCCCCATTCTCCACCTTTCTCCTTCCTCTGTCTCTCTCTTCCTCCCCCACCCCCACCTATCTCCCTCTCTCTCTCTTCTTCCTCCATTTCTGGCCCCTCCCCCCCTACTCTCTTCTTTTTCGTACCGTTTCTCCTCCGTCGCTCTCGAATGAGTTCCTTCCACCCTTTCTCTCCTCCTGCCGATCCCTTGTTGACGACGGAGATAAAGCTTATACAGGGAGGTTTGTGGGCCGGTTCTTCCCCTACTTGCATCGGTGGGGATCTTTTCCTGTCGCCGTAACTTCTTCTCATCTCGTTTTGTCTCGTCTCTCTCTCTCTTTTTCTCTCTCTCCTCTTCCTTCGCTCTCTCTCTCTCTCTCTCTCTCTCTCTCTCTCTCTCTCTCTTCTCCTCTCTCTCTCTCTCTCTCTCTCCTTCTCTTTGTCCTTTGGATGTCTTTTTTCGATAGTCTATCAGTTCTTTTATATACCTACCTGTATATAGGAACTGGTATGGGATTAAATGCATATCATGCATGTATAAGCATACACACACAATATATCTATATGTATGTGTGTGTGTATACAGTGCATATGTATGTATATAATGTATATGTATGTATGTAGTTAGTGTACTTACCTATCACAATAAGAAGCATTCATAAAATATGTGACCTCATGCCACGAATAATGGTAAAGAAGTGTGCCAGATAAATCAAATATTTTCAGTCACATCTGTTCTGCGTCTGTCTCTTGTTCTCTATACTTTCTCATCTTCCTCATCCCCGTCTTGAAGATGTCGGAGGCGCCTCCTCCTCCTTCCTTTCCTTTGTATCATATCTCTTTCTCCTTCTGGCCTCCCTTTTTATTATCTTACGGTGTTAATACCT